AAGAGCATTTTTCTTACTTAAAAAATAAAAATATATTCTTAAAATAAGGTTAAAAAACATGCAAAGTTTAACGTTATTTATTATACGTTTCCTTATAATTCCTTATTACAATAATTTTCTTATAAATAATATTACAAATTATAATTAAGTAATATGATGTAATATTACATAGTTTTAAGATATTTTTAATAGAATTACATATTGTGTAATATAATTTTAAAATTTATTACATAATATGAATGGTAATATAATAATTAAATAATATTATATAATATTACTTATGCTATAACATATTTGAAATTTACTAAAATTTAATTTATTACATTATCCTATATAATTAACAGTACGAGTTACAATCCCTTCGTGTTCCTACCTACCCAAAGTAATATCTCTATGCATGTATATATTTCCCGCCTATGCATATTTCTATATCTTCATATAGCTACTTAATATTTCATATTTCTACCATATTTCTATTTACCTAACGCGTTATTTCTGCCCACCCGAAATGATTAGTTTATTTAGTTTTATTATTATTGGTTTATTTTATCAATATTAATTAGTCGCAACCGCGATACCCGAAATTAAAGAAGTAAAAATTTTTAAAGGAAGTTTAAAAGATTTTAAGTTCGCAATTAATTGAGATTAAGCTGGAGACGTCACTTTCCCGTCTCCGATTATGCGTTTACATGTGTAGAAAATATTACCCTCCCTATATATGCACATTATACACTAAATTGGTGGTGTTCAACAACTACCTTGTGTAGATCTTCTCTCCTTTAACCAGTTTGACTATACCATTTCATGGCCAAATCCATTCTGGCAAAGCCAGAAACAAGAAGAAGAAATACACCTTCTGTTGCCGCCTAATCATAGACGGCAAATGAGCATAATGATTTTACGCTTTTTTCCACGATGCGCGAAACACGACCGCGTCGCGAAGGACCATTTGTAACAAAATTAAATTTAGTAATTTTAAAATTACCAGCTTTCAAAATCTACTTAATATCGTACAAACTATAATTTACGCAAGTGATCATTTTCTCGTGCGCGGCTGGGAAATGCTCGCAATGTTCTTCCTTCCGGATATATCTCGTATGGCTAATCTGAAATCGTTTGGTAAGGAGACCACCATCTTTCTGCGCAAAATTTTCTCGGAGACAATCACTAGGCGCATGGAATCTGGCGAGAAGAGATACGACCTCATCGATATTCTGATCGAGATCAAAAAGAACAGTAGCGATGAAGAGATTGAAGGCTTCAGTAAGCAAAATAATTATATTTACATAGTATATATATAAATGAATAATTAAAGATGTGTAATATAACGGCTTGCGATAACATCAGAGTAACCGACAAGTTTGATCAATAATCACGATAAACGAATTTAATTGTAGTAAGTATCAAAAGTCTTCAAACTCTAACAGATTAATTAAATTTTAGAATTCGATGGAGATGATCTCATGGCACAAGCGGCCAGTTTCTTCTCAGGTGGTTTCGATAGTTCCACAATACCGATTGCTTTCACGTTGTACGAACTCGCATTGCAACTTTAAATTCAAAGTACACTAAGAAAAGAAATACTCGAGGCGCTCAACGATTCCGACGGAGAAGTCACATACGACATGGTATGCAAATATCTGCTA